AACAACTTTAGCAGCCTGACTTTCTCGAATGTTGTCCACCCTCTTACACGATCCTCCTACCAAATTTATCAAGTTGGTAACAAGTGTGAAGAAGCCACTAACATCACCATGTTGTTTAGCAACAACAACAAGTGTTAACTAGAGTTGATGGGCAAAACAATGAACATAGTAAGCTGATGAATTTTCTGCCAAAATTAAAGCCTTGATCCCATTGATTTCCCCACTCATATTGCTAGCTCCATCATAACCTTGTCCTCTTATTCTTGACAAGCTCAATCCATTGCTCACTAGTATCGATTCAATTTCCATCTTAAGTGTTAAGGCTTTAGTATCTGAAACATGAGCAATCCCAAGAAGTCTCTCCATCACATATCCTTCATCATTTACATAGCGCAACACAATAGCTATTTGCTCTTTGATTGATGTATCACGAGCCTCATCCACCAAAATGGGAAAAAAATCATCTCCAATGTCGCATATGATTTGCTTGGTCACTTCACTTGCAATTGCGTGGACAATATCCTTTTGAATGTATGGGGAAGTCATCTGAAGGTTTTTGGAGCATTTCTCAACACAACACTTTCCACACCCTCTCTACCAAGAGCATGAAATTTCAGTAGTTCAATAAAATTCCCTCTATTCTTTGAAGATTCTGATTCATCCTGCCCACGAAGTGCTTGCCCTTGGCGCACACAATGTCTGATGCAATCAATTGAAGCTTGCAAACGAATTCTATAATCCATCTTTGCTTGATCTGATTGCTTACGTAAAGAAACTCCAATGCTTTGAGACTGTTTCATCAAGTTCTCGCCTTTTCTCACAGCTTTGTTGTGTTCACTATTGACATGACCAACATGTTTCTCAAAACCCTCCTTTCCTCTATTCTAAGCTCTAAAGCCCTTAGACATAAAAGAAGCACTTCCGCCCTTCTTACTATCATCACTCATAAGTAAGTAACAATGCAAGCAATATGCAGCATCCTTTGCAATACTGTATTCCAACCAATGATATTTTTTGTACCAAGAAGGCTTAAAGCTTCGATGAATTCCCCCAATATCTCTAGACGGGAAATCATGATTGGGTTGACAAACACCTTTTTGAAGATAATGTCTTCTGATCATATCTTAAACATTAGGATTAAATAATGCTACTTGTTCTCTTAACCCCTGATCAGCTTTCAAAGAGTTCACATCAAGCTCATTTTCTCTAGATGCAATGCTAGGAGTAGAGTGATTTACCAAGAGAGATTTTGACACTGATTTTGTTGATGGAGTAGAATTAGAATCATGTCCAGGTGCTAATGAATTCAATTCACTATCTTCACGCTCTTGGGAAGTCGTAGCTATCCGAGGCTTCTTCGGAATTCGGATAATATCTCTCCATAATAGTATCCTACAAATTCGAAGTCAAAGCAAACCGAGAATTTGTAATTAGGACACATTCGACACAACTACATCATAATTTATATGCAAAGAACACATTAAAAACAAACAGGGGTATGCCCCTGCTACCAAGTCCCAATCCAATTTCCACCATCCCAATTCCTTGGTATTAACATATGAAATGACCACATATAGATTACCAAATAGAAACCAAACCATTACTCCTATACTACAAAGTCGTCACTGCCAAATAGAAACCAACTCCTATGGAGAGTTTAGACAAAATGAAATCATCTTAAGATAGGGAATCCGATAAAAGTTAAGAGGGGATGAGCACCGACAACAAAAGGAGGCAATACTAGCATTATTGGCGGCCAAACAACCTATTGTCGAAATCAAAAGTGGCAAAGAACACTTCGCCGGTCAACAGAGAAAGGAAGGCAGATCGGAATGGAAACTGAAATCAAAGAGCCGCCCACGCAAGAGGATGCCAATGATGGCAATCCAAGCAGTCGTTGGAGCCTCGATCAATGGACTTTGGTCTTTGAGAATGAGATTGTGGCCTTGTGGGAGTTTTGCTCTGTACATGGACGAGCTGCGGCTGCGGGTATCTTCTATTTTGGGAGAAAATTGAAGGTATTAGGGATTCTGTCTGGGCTTGGGGAATAGGCAGTGTCGTGAATTAATTTATGCAGTCTCAGATACTTAGTTAAATAAAAAAAAATGTTCATTAATTTCAAAAGCTGGCAGGTGGCGTAGTGGCTAAAACGGTTGCTATTGAATGGGAGGTTGGGAGTTCGATCTCTCATCTCTACATAATATATTCTTATATTTTTTGTGTTTATTTCTAATTCCAAGGTGGTGCAGTTGACCTCCCTAGGTCAGCTCTGCCTCCGCCCCTGTCGACGGGTTAGGAGATGAAAATTGGAAGTGGAATCAAAGGAGAATAGAGATGATTCGGCGATGATCTTTCGGGAATGTAAGAATTTATTGAAATATAAAGGGTATGCGATCTGCATGTGTTGTATGGTCTCGGATATGGGAAAATATTATTGAGAATTGGAATGAAGGCTGCAAGCATGACTTTTGGAGGTGGGAAGGGAAAGGGATTAATGACTTTTGGAGGTGGGAAGGGAAAGAGATTAATGACTTTTGTTGGAATTGGAAAGGGAAAGAGATTAATAAATTCTTCCTAGAGATATATAGATCGTTAATTATAGTACGGGGCGGGGCGGGCTAGAGGTGTTACCCAGGCCTGACCTGGCCTATAGCGGGTAGGGTCGGGTTTGACCTGCCCCAAAATGGGTTGGGTCAGGTCCACGCTGCAACACCCCAAAATCAAAACCCAGATGGCGGTGCGTGACGACGACTCTCTAGTCTCCCTTGTCCGTCTTGCGCTTCCCTCGACTCCCTTCCGGCTTCCTCCTCTCGTCGACGCCAGCCCTGTCTCTAAATCCTCCTCCGCCACCTGCAGCAACTCCTCACGGTATAACGGTAGAACCAGTTTGTAACCGTTTACCAGTAAATCGGTTACAAACTGGTAACGATAATAGATTTTCCCCCACCCATGCTCAGCATACCGTTTATCGGTTAGGTCGGTAACCGGTAAACCGGTTATAGATCGATTGTCACCCCTAAATTGAAGCTCCTTAGTTAATAACATAATCAATAATCGGGAACAAATTTCCCCCCGAAATAATATCCGTTCACCATAACAAATATCCTCCAAGACCAATATCTAGTTAGTCCATAATTAATATCCTCACCATAGATACTAATACCCACCTCACGCAGACTAATATCTGACAGTCGTAGACAAATACCCACGACGAACAGATTAATATTTGACCATCGCAAACTGATACCCACCACACAGATTAATATCTGTCCATCGCAGACTAAAACAAACTACATATATCCGACCCATCTAAACTATTATCCATTCATTGCAAACAAATATTATTGTTTCATGGGTCGAAGTAACATGGGCCCTCAGCGGGCAGCCCTAACTAAGGTTGCAAGCGTTAGACCCTGTTCACTTCCATTTTTGTTTCCTGTTTTCTGTTTTCATGTCATAAATTTGGCAACCGAAACGAGAAAACTTGTTTACTTTTCATTCAGTTTTCTATTCGTTTCCAACTATGAAAATAGTAAGTGGTAACTTCCTGCTGTTTTCAGAAACGATAAAAGAGGGTTAGAGAGTTAAAGGTTGTTGGAAATTTAATGGACCATCACTTCTTCTTTTTCTTTACCCATTTGGGCTATGTAAATATCTACTCACAAAAAACCTTGTGAGTAGTTTAACTTTTTCGGACAATGCTATCGAGTGCCTTTTATTTTTTAAGGAGTAGAGAATGTGAGGTATTACTACCTTAAGGCTTAGACCATGTCCAATGTGAGAATAAGGGAAGGGTGGAAAGGTGAAAGGACCAACGTTGTCAATCCGGTTTGGTCTATGGGCTCGGTTGAGCTAATGGATTGATTGTTAAATGGTTTCACAGCTGAAGTCTGTTTTGACTCTTATGAAAAAGTTATTGTATTGTTAATATATTTATAATTTTATTGATTAATAATGTATAAAATTAAACTAAAATAACATGTCGTACTTGGAGTCAACATATAATGAAAATTCACAAACACTTATGTAATATCAATTTTCAACTTAGACGGACGGAGTCGCCATTTATGGTTTTGTCTCCATTAATGACAATAATCATCATTTGAATCACCATATGTGTGGGGAAGGGAATGGCGATTCCCATGGGAAATGGGGATTGGGTGATCTGCTAGAGGGGACAACTGCCAGCCCGAGAAATGTGTCGCACGTGCCAAGAGAGCATGTGCAGTGAATAATGCCAAATTTAGGTATTTTTCGAATTTTATGAGAACTTTTTTTTAAAACTAGGGCATTAAAGGATTTTGTCCTTGAAACCTCATGATTGGGTAATTGGAATTAGCAATTGAATTCTGATTTTGAAATTTGAACCCAAACCAAATACTCTTCTTTTTTCTTAGGAGGACAAGCAAGCTATAGCCTCTAGAAAGTAGGAATTTAAAGTTTCAAATGGATATCTCTTCCGCGTGCGTGGCGCATCGTCCGGGCTGGCGGTTGCCCCGACCAACAAACTGCTTTTTTAATAAATATATTTTAGTTTAATGAGTGGTTATTTTAGGATTTAATTAAGGGTTTATTGATTAAAAGTTTAATAATTAGGACTTTAATGATTTTTTTAATTAGTATTTTGTTTACTTCCTTTTTTTCGACTCCTCTTCTTGTATTGATCTTTTAAAATTTGAACCCAATACTCTTCTTTTTTCTTAGGACAATAAGCTTAAAAGTTTAATAATTAGGAATTTAAAGACTGTTTTAATTAATATTTTGTTTACTTCCTTTTTTCCCTTCTCTTCTTATATTGATCTTTTAAAATTTTTTTTTTTTTGGTGAGAATAGGGCGCTAAGGGCGCCCAAACCTTTATAATGTACGAACACGACGGGACATTTGAATCCCTACAGAATCATAGTATAACCAGTACGCTAACGAGCTACTCGGGCTATCAAAGACATAGTGCCCAATCGGAAATGAATGACCTATCGAAGCAAGATGATCTGCAGCATAATTAGCTTCGCGGTAGACATGCTCTATACGGACTGTCCAATGCCTGGCCAGCCAGCTCCGGATCTCCGCTATTCGCGTATAATGTGGGTGATGCGATGATGCAGTCTCTATCAAGGCCTTTGCGGTTGCTGAATCTGTCTGGAGAATCACCTTCCTGGCCCCTTGATCCCAAGCAAGCTTCAGCCCGTACACAATACCAGTCAGCTCTGCGCGCGTAATGGAACCCCCTCCAAGATTCGCAGTAAACGCGCTGATGAATCGTCCATCGTCTCCCCGAACAATGCCGCCACATGTAGTGCTCGCAGGAGAGGAGGTGACTGAGCCGTCAGTGTTGATGCAGACCCAGTCTTGCGCCGGTGGTTGCCAGCCGACCATGCGCCATTCGCGGAGTCCCCCGTCTCCGAAGACGCTCCTCTCCTTCTCAAGAGCTGTGAGAACTTGCTCCTTAAGTTGTTTCGCTTGGTACTGGACTTGTGTACAGGCTTTCAGCTCACCTCGGAACACGAAGCCATTCCGGTTTTTCCACAGCAGCCAGCATGTACCTGCAAAAAGAGTACAGTCTATGACTTGACTTCGGCCTGATAGGTAGTAATGAGTCCACCGCTGCAGATCCTCATCAAAGAATCGGTGGTCCGGTTCGTTCTCTAGTAAACCCGCCCAGACAGCTCGCGCAAAGGGACAATCGCGAACTACGTGCATTGCCGTTTCAGGTCCCGCTCCGCAGATTTTACAGTCCGTCTCTGAAGTGAGGTGTCGGCGTCCCCTCTCTGCGTTGGTGAAGAGCCTATTATGATTTAGCAGCCACATGAAAGCTCGCACCCTTTGAATTGTCTGCGCCCTCCAGATCGTCCGCCACACTGGTCGTCCCTGGGAGTTGGTAGCTGCCGAGGCTGTGAGCTCATATGCTGTCCGAAGGGTGAAATCGCCCCTCTCCGAGAATCTCCAGACTCTTGTGTCATCCTCCTCCTCCTGTGGCACCGGGTGAAGCTCCACCTGCGAAACCAGCGACAAAGGTAAATAAACTTTCAAGAAATCCAGGTTCCACTTACCATTGAGGATGAACTCATGCACTGGCATATTGTGCAGATGTTGAGGAAGGTTCGGTGCATGGTCGCTAAGGACTGTGGTGTCGTCCAGCCATCTATCGTCCCAGAAACGCGCCACTCGTCCGTTACGCACGTTCCACATCGTTGCCTCCTCCAACAAGTGTGCCACGCGAACCACTCCTCGCCATAGATTAGAAAGCCTGCCTGTGGATCGAAAAACCCATCCCGTCTCTGTAAATTTACAGTATTTAGAGATTAGTACTCTCGCCCATAGCTCGGTCGGCTTCGTGAGCATCCGCCACGCTATCTTCAACATATAAGCCTCATTCATTCTCGTCGAGTCTCGCAATCCCAGGCCCCCTTCGTCTTTTGGCTTGCAAATCGTCTCCCAGTCAACCAAGTGCACTTTCCTCCCCTGGTCCGTACTACCCCACACAAAGGCTCTAATTTTTTTTATCAATGTACTCTCTTACGCTTGCCGGCAGAAGAGTCGTCTGCATTGTGTACGCCGGCAGGGAAGAAATCACGGATTGAGCCAGAGTAATTCGCCCGGCAAGCGAGAGTGACGTAACCTTCCACCCCGCCAGTCGCTTGTCAATTTTGTCAATCAACTCAGTAAACGTAGCTTTGGAAACCCGATCATGGATCACCGGGACTCCCAAATAACGCCCAAGATTTAAAGTCTCGGGGATCCCGAGTTCTTGGCTCAAGGACTGGCGCTGCACTGCAGTGAGATTGGCAGAGAAGAAGATTCTTGACTTTGGTTTGCTTATCTGCTGTCCAGAAGCTGCACTGAAGCGCTTAAAGCAAGAATTTATTTCCTGTACCTGTATGGTGGAAGCCTCGCCAAACAGAACCAGGTCATCCGCGAAGAAGCTGTGCGATAGAGCTGGCCCGTTGCTTGCGAGCCGAATAGGGGACCAGCGACCTGAACTAACAGACTCGTCGATGAGGTGACTAAGCCTCTCCATGCACAGGGTGAACAGGTACGGAGACAGAGGGCATCCTTGTCGCAATCCCCTGGACGGTTGGAAGCTATCTGTAAGGCCTCCGTTCCATTGGATTTGCATCGAGGCTGAAGTTATGCACGCCATTGTGACGTCCACAAATTTAGCCGGCGCCCCTGTCGCTACCAACGTATCTCTAACAAAGCCCCATCTGATCCTGTCATATGCTTTAGCAAGGTCTATCTTCAGCACCATCCACCCTTTCCTCCCTTTCCGAGCCCTCATCGAATGCACCACCTCTTGCAGGATACAAACGTTATCTGTTATATGACGACCCGGGACAAAGCTCGTCTGTGTCTCGTGCACTAAAGATGGCATTAAGATCTTCAATCTCTCAGCTAGGCATTTCGTCAACGCTTTGTAGGCAACATTGCAAAGATTGATTGGGCGAAATTGATCAATTGTAATGGGCTGTTGTACTTTAGGTATCAAAGCCAATATGGTCGTATTTACCTCTTTGACTTTCTCTGGAGTGGCCCAACAACCCGTTATAAATTGCACCAGCGAGGGTCCCACTGTTTCCCAGCATCTTTGGAAGAAGAGCGGGTTTAAACCATCTTTACCCGGGGCCTTCAATGCACCCATGGAGCGGATGACTATCTTTATCTCCTCTGCATTTGGAACGTGCTCCAGCGCAGCCCAAGAAGTGTCTCCAAGAACAGGGAAATTAGCTTGCAGAGGAAGCAAATCACCCCCCTCATCTGTGTAAAGGTTACTGAAGAAAACTTTTGCCAACTCCATCAGCGCCTGCGGGTCTTCTATCCACTCTCCCTCGGCGTTTTTCAGCATGAGAATGCGATTTCGCTTCCTTCGGCGCACTGCTCGGGCATGGAAATATGCTGTGTTTTTGTCCCCCGAAGCCATCCATTCCATGCACGATTTCTGACACCAGAGGAGCTCTTCTTGGAAGAGAGTCAGCTCGAGTTCCTCTTGCGCCTGGGACAATTGTTCAAGAACCCCATCCCCATTCCCTGCATGCTCCAGTCGTTCAATTCTTCTAAGCAGCTTATCTTTTCTCCTGTGAATATCCCCAAACACTCTTTTATTCCAGCTGGCTGCATCTCGAGCAAAAGCTTCTGCCGATTCAGTAAAATTATTACCCTTAGCCCAGGCTTCATTCGCCATATTGCGAAACTCCTCATGCGAAAGCCACGCTGCAATGAACCGGAAAGGTTTAGGGCCGCCCGGAGACACATCATTTCGCGTGGACATCAGAATCAGGCGATGATCGGACTTCTTCATCCGTGGGACATGTCTCACTGAAGTCTCAGGGAAGGAGGTCAGCCAGTCATTGTTCGCCATGCCCCTGTCAAGCCGCTCCCGAAGACCTGTCCTGAACCACGTGAATGCGGGCCCTGTATATCCCAGATCATTCAACCCGATATCATGGACCACATCCTGGAAATCTCGTATACGTGTGGCATCGAAGGGAGCACCCCCCCAACTTCTCGGACGGGCTAAGAATTGAGTTGAAGTCCCCCATTAGAAGCCAAGGGAATCCCATATCTTCCGCTATACTTCGTAATTCAGCCCATATTTCTCGCCTTTGCATCGGGGCAGGGTTGCCATAAATCGCTGAAAGCTGCCAATCCGGATCCTGCGTGTTCGGATTATGAACCTGTACATGCAAACATTGAGGGTGAGTTCGTTTCCTAGTAATGGTAAAGTCACAGGAATTCCAAAGCACCCAGATGCCCCCCGAGTAGCCAATAGCATCTATAACTAACTCACTATCATAACCCATATCCCGAATTACTTCAAGGGCACGGTCCCCGCCAATGCGAGGTTCCACGATGATCACTATATTGGGTCGAAGTTTACGACGATACTCTCTAAAGGTACGAAGGAAACTTCTACTTCCCGCCCCCCTACAATTCCAAGCTAGTATTTTACAATCCATAAAAACTAGTAGAGGAAAGGAGACTCCCTGATGTTATCGGGTTGATGAAGTAGTCCCATCAACGTGCATCTCTGATGGCCCTGAAGCCTCACGAACCTCTTCCCCAGCTTGACGTTGGTGCGACTGGGATTGTTGAATGTCCGGTGGACGGCCAGGGGCGTCGAAACCTTCTAATCCCAAGGTCACTTGTTCAACTTGCTCCCTCTCTAGATTTGGGTTGCTATGATCCGTTTGAGCGACTGGAGAAGGGGAGCTCTGCTGTTTCTCTTTGTCTCCAACTTCCGCAGCAGCCTGAGTTGGCGTAATGGCAGATGATGGTACTTTCTCCACCTTTTTGTTATTAGCTTGAGTGCAGCTGACCGGATTGGTTTTCTTTGGGATCTCCTGCTGCTTTTTGGCCTTCTCTCTTTCTGCTCCCTTCCCCTGGGTATTCCTCGTGGCTGGGCTAGTGTTCGCCACTTGTTCCACCTCTGGTTGCGAGGAGTCGCCTTGTTCCACTTCAAGCACATCAAACCGGGATCCACCAGGCGCTGCAACAGTTTTTTTACTTATGCGCATGCTCGCCTTAGGATCATCGCCTCCATTTTCTTTCCTCTTAGGTTTCCTCTTAGCTATCATCCATTCCCCATAGGTCTGCTCCGGTTGTTTCTCTTTGGGCTCCGTCGACCTCTCCCCAACATCAGCTTCCATAGGTTCAGGCGTGATATTGCATGTGCATGAGCCTTTCTCAGAGTACGTACCGCAGTTCAGGCAGATCTTCTCCAAACCTTCGTATTGTATGTAATACTTTTTCCCGTTAATGGAGAACTGTGATAATAACGGTTTGGTAAGATCCACCTGTACACATACTCGAGCGTAGTCGCTCCGCACTACAGTGCGTGTGGCCTCGTCAATTCTAATAGGTTTCCCAATTCTGCTTCCAATCCTCATGACAACATCTGGATGGAAATATTGTATTGGTAGTTCAAGGAGGCGAGCCCATACTACCGTTGATGAGACTTCGTGCTCATAGGGATTGAAGTTTTTATCCCACAAGTGTACTGTTAGGTAGTTAGGCCCTATCATCCATGGTCCGTTAGTAACTGCTCGATCATAATCCAACCCGCTTGTGAACCGGACTAGGAAGTATCCCTTTTTCATCGACGTAACCTGAATGCCTCCAGCCTTTGCCCAGATCGAGTTGAGGCGGATGGATACGGCTGTGTAGGAAACCGTTTTCCCCAAGGCCTTGACTACCAATGCTGAGCGAAACGCCCGGCAAAATTGACGTTCCTCCGCCGGGGAGAAGTATATCTGCGGGCATTTTGGATCAGTTTCCCCATCACAGCCCATCTCGAGTCCATCTTCTCTCATCGCCGCCGCTGCGTCCTCGGAATCCGAATCCGCCGTATACCATTCGTCAAGCCGGGTGCTTTCACCAAATAGTCTCCTCGCAGCCCCCTTCCCTTGATTCCAAACATTCGGGGAAGGATTCGTTGGCTGGTTGTGATGCTCTTGGTTGATATTCATGTGTTCGTCGGTCCCGGAATCCAAGGCCACTTTTGGTTCCGTGGGCTTCGCCCTTTTCTTTTGGTGTTGAGCCTCACGATCACTCTTTGGATTTGGAGAAGAAGATTGTGTTGGTGGCCGTCGCTGTCCGGAGATGATTTCCGGCTGGTGGGAAGGCTTGTATCCGCCCCCACCCGCCGGCGGCACGGTGTCCGCCGACATGCAAACAAAACCCTAGCACTCGTCAGAATCGCCAAAACTTTGCCTTCCGAGAACTTCGGAGCCCTCAGCTAGGTTTTACTTGAATCCTGATCTTTTAAAATTTGAACCCAATACCCAATATTCTTCTTTTTTCTTAGAACCATAAGCAAACTTTAGCCTCTAGAAAGTAGGAATGCAAAGTTTCAAAATATTAGAACGATAAGCAAACTCCCACGCGCGCATATGGCGCACCGCCCGGGCTGGCGGTTGGCCCGTCAGCAGATTATTTTTAAATAGATATTTTAAGGTTTAATTAGTGGTTATTTTAGGGTTTAACTAGGGGTTTAATAATTAGGGCTATGATGACAATTTTAATTAATATTTTGTTTAATTCCTTTTTTTCCTACTCTTCTTGTATTGATCTTTTAAAAATATTTAAAAGTATGTTTATTTGATAAAATGACATAAATTAAATTCATCCTATTTAAGAATTATGTTTATCATTTTCAAGTGTTGTGTGTAAACTCAAATTACGTTAATCTTATTTTGTAAAAAAAATCTGTCTCGGAATTTAAAAAAAATTTGTCTCCGAATTTAAAAAAATTCTATCAAAAAATTTGTATTTAAAAGTGATGACGAACTATACAAAAATAACATGAACAAATTAGCTTAAAATGATCATTTTTTAGTAAAGAAAAACTAGAAAAGTAGGTTCCCAAATTTGGAGAGGGTAAGTAATATACCCAATGTAAAAATATTTTTACCGCACCAGCTCACCATTTGCTCAAATAGTTCATTATTGCACTTAGGCCAACAATCGTGCTCAGCTCACGATTCTCTCTGGTGAAGTATTGGGTCAGACCCGTCCAGCTCCAATCAGTACACAATTGTGTCATGGCCCGCCAACACTAAATCATACAGTGCCTCGCGATTGCCCCTAATTGAGGGTTCCTCCATCCGAGCACGGCACTGCCCGATACATTATTGCGTTCACTTCCCCGCGCCTAGGCCCGTTATCGTTCCCCGACCCCGGCTCCCGGCCTCCGCCATCCTCTCGGGGTGCCGAGCCTACCATTGCCCCGACTCCCAGCTGCGGGCATTCACCTCTTACCGGTTCTTGCCGCACGGGCCCGTTATCATTCCCGGACCCCAGCTCCCAGGCTCCGCCCTCCTCCC